GAAGTGAACAAAGGACCAAGGACCTTACTGACTCGGTCTGGATCTTCATTAAAAATAAGGTTCATCCACTCTTTCCCAACATTGGGATCAAAAGGAAGGCAATGCAAAGAGTTTTTCCACAGCTTGGCACTGTATCGTTTTGTTTCTGCGTAGATCTGCGCGTTTGCCTCTCTCGTAAACACTACATGTGAGAATCGGTGGGTGGGGCTAAACAGGCAGTGATGTAGAATTGGTGGGCGGCCAGGGCAGGTCTAAACAGGCAGTGATGTAGAAGCAGGCATTGATCATCTTCTGCAGAGGCAGTGTTTATTCACACTATTACATCATAGAGTAGAACATTCCAAAAGCTGTCGTTTTGGCAGACTGCCTTCAATATAAGCTGTTTTTAGACTAACGAGAAAGTTTCGAGTTCTGAAATTTACAGGATGTTTTTATAGTACAATAACCGGTCAAAAGATCAAAAGAATTTAGATTTCTCAGTTCATGACCCCTTTAAACTTTCTCAGAATCATGAAATTAAAGGTGTAGTAGGAGATCATGGAAAATGCTAACTTTAGCCTGATAGCACTGAGAGCGAACGTCCCACCCTCCCTGCAATCGCCATCCAAAGCCACGCCCTCTGAATGCATTTACGCTCACAGACCAGAACACCAGAGACAACATTACAATAGGCTACATCAGCGGTTCCCAATTCCAATCCTCGCGCCCTCCTGCTCTGCACATTTCATATGTATCTCTTATCACGTGCTACGTTTGTTCTATTCGACCGTGAGTGCCCTGGGAAGTGTACATCACCGGATATTCCGCCATGATTCCAGTTCGAAGCGAGCGTATATGTTCCATACAAAGGGCATTAAAGTGTGCGAGATGTGAATTTAAATATTATTTATTTACAGAGGTATATTATGTCACACTTCACACTTCTCTAGTAAGTTTCGTCTGTGTGTGAAGACGCTGCGCAGCGCAAATCTGTGAATAAATGTTCCGAAGTGAAGTAAACTTCAACAGATTTCCCCTGCTTCCCTTGTGCGAGGACTGGATTTGGGAACCACTGAGCTACATCATGTGTCATTCACCTGGTGAGAAAACTTTATAGTACAGTTAGTAAAAGTACTACAATACCAGGAAGGAAGTTCTGGTTGTTGATGTTTGTCTGCCATTCTCACTCTGTCTGCTCAGCGTGCGTGAACGCGCTGATGACGTATCCTGTCTGCGCGAACAGGGTGCGCAGAGGTATGCAAATACATATGTTGACAGGCAGTTAGGAAAGCCAATTAAAACGCTCGGACCGAGCGTTTTGATTGGACGAACATTTCTTGGTCCTACGCCTTCCACAGAATATATAAATACAGATAAATACATTTAGACCACTTAACTTAATGATTGCTATCGGGATGTGAAGAGACTTTCAACCAGCATAACAAAAAATGTTTCTGAAGACAATCACCTATTACACCTTTAAGTTACTGTATTTATTGTTTTATATAATTTATATAATTATTGTATAATACCACTGCCAGTTTTAGTAATTAAAAAAAGTTTGAAAATGCAAGTTACAATGTTCACACACATCACTCATTATTTAAATAACAAAGCCCTAATTATTCATAGCAGGTGTCTGTCTCATCCTCAGACATGCAGGAACGACACAGACTGCTTGAGTTGAAATGTGACAGGCTACATAATGCACTCCTAAAAATAAAGCTTTCAAAAGGTTTTTTTTTTTTTTTTTTTTCAGCAATGTTTTAAACCCTTTTATGGAAGTCAAAAATCCAGTATACCAAGCCACTTCTGAAACAGCCCAGGTAAGATGCTTCTGATGTTGTTTCTAAGGAGAAAAAGAACTGGACTGTTGCTCAAAGTCCTCTTTTCAGATAAAAGTAAATTTTACATTTAATTTGGAATTTTTTTTTGCAGCAATGTCTTAGAAGAACCATTTTTGGTTTCCCAAAAAAAGTTCTTAAAATAACCCCTTTTTCTTAGTGTAAAGAACATTTTTATAATCTAAAGAAGGTTTTTTTTTTTTGTACACACTATAAAGTGAAAAAATAAAGGAAAGTTTCCATGGATGTTAAAGGTTCTTCATGGAACCAAAGTTGGCAATGAACAACCTTTATGTTTAAGGGTGTACTGTAAAATTTGGACTCGGGACACCTTACCACACCTCCAACTCTTACAACATAGCACAGAGCTACAGGTGTTTTGTTTTGATCTAAACGTAACATTCGGTCACTATGTTGGTTGGTGTCTCCCCACCTGTGACTCTCTAGAGATGCGACGCTGTAGAGGGAGAAAAACCTTCCTCTCAGGGACCTCAGCGGGAGACTTTACTGTCACTGCTTCATGGTAACCATGAAACATAGAGCTACAGGTGATATTTTAGTCACCCTCGAGGGTCACTTCTTCCTTTAGCGGTCAGGTGAAAAGGGGACAGAGAAGTGGGATATCAAAAAAGGACTTCTTAAAAACTTGGAACAGGCCGGAAAAGTCACTTAAAAGATATTATTTTCTTTAAGTATAATATCCATTTTCATATTTTGCTATGATGAGGTCTTCACCTTTGCATATACACAACCATTCAAAAGTTTGGGGAAGAAAATAATTTTTTTGAAAGAAATTAATTTAATTCAGCAAGACAGATTAAACTGATTAAAATGTCAGTAAAGACATTTATAAATGTTGCAAAAGATATCAAATAAATGTTGTTCTTTTGAACTTTCTATTAGCTGAAGATTCACGAAAAAAAATTCACAAAAATATTAATCAACACAACCAAATTAATTAATAATAATTGATAATTATTATTGTTTATTATTAAACAAATATATTATTATTATAAACATTAATAATAATAATAATAATAATAATAATAAGTGTTTCTTGAGCAGCAAATCAGAATATTAGAATGATTTCTGAAGGATCCTGTGACACTGAAGGCTGGAGTAATGATGCTGAAAATTCAGCTTTGATCACAGGAAAAAGTATATTTTAAAATGAAAAAATTATTTTAAATTGTAATAATATTTCACAATATTACTGTAGTTACTGTATTTTTTTTAAATGAATGCAGCCTTTGTCAGTATAAGATACTTAATTCAAAAACATTAAGAAATCTTACAGACTCCAAGTTTTTGAAAGGTAGTGTATCTTATAAATGTACTAAAACCTTTATATATACATTTTCAACAGCAGACTGAACTCATAAAAATAAGCTTGCATGGTTATGTCCATTTTAGACTTGTGTAAAAAATCCATCTCTGAAAAACACTTGTGCTATATAAAGCATCATGAGGGCTGTTATTCTAACATCAAAGAGTTCAAACACGAATCTGGACCCTTCAAAAGAATCGCAGCGGCACATCATTGATCATCCCATTATGAAGCGTTTTACTCATCTGTTCTGCAGAAGTGCCTGAACTCTCTAATGTGCAGATAAATGGCTGCTATCACCCCCATTTTTGACCCAAAATGAGCAGACACCGGTTTCCCACCCGTCTCAAGAAGGCATGCACTGTAAAAAAAATTCCCGTCCAATACATGTAATATCCAATACAGTTTTTCACCGTATATAGTAGGGAAATTTACCGTTAACCATTTAACAGGTTTTTACTGTAGCATTTTTACAGTCTTTTACCGTTAAATTCACAGTCATATTTTACAGTGTGCGCTTAAATTCCACAATTACCTAATAGAGGTAGATAAATACAGTGAACCCCAAAAGAGGATCTGGACACTTGAGCTCACTTACAAATATATTTATGTTGATAAAAAAATTATTAACAATCTTATTTTCACAAAAACAAATAAATGAATACAAATAATTTTTACAAAATTACAAACATAAATCAGTAATTTTTGAATCATGATTATCCACACATTTTCATCACATTTTCAACATGCTTTTTCAGAAAAGATCAAAGGTCAACAACTTATTGACCTTGTCACACAAGCGTCCAAAATTGTGTCAGAGTATGTATCGCAGTTGATGAAGAACTCACTTCTTGACCATTAATAAAGTACTTTTTGAAAGTATCATTGAGAATATTTTTTTTTAATTAACTGCTTATTTAAAGCTGCAGTCCGTAAGTTTTGCCGGCTAACAATCTGCCACCTGCAGGATCCTCACATGCGATAACCTACTAGCCGGGACAACTTCTTTATGTTTACAGACGTGACGTCATGACGCAGTGCCATGCTCGAATTTCCCGCGAAAACCTACCTGTACCACTCAAATTAGAAAACATTATTATACGCTAACCGTTGTGAATCGGGCTAAAGTAAGGCCATAGTTTTGAACACTGGCTGGTTATGTACTTGCTCAAATATTGATTTCGGATCATTTTTAACCCAAAAAAAGTTACGGACTGCAGCTTTAATATTTGAATTATGTACTATTTTTAAATTTACTAACTTTAAGACTTAAAAAGCCTTTATTAAAGCACACATATATATACACTTTAAGTCCCACAAAAATATTAAAAATGTATATATTTTAATTTATGAATTAAATCTTTCATAAATTGAAAATATTTTCAGTGTAAAAAGTCATTTTGGTACGAATTGTTTTCTGAATATTCTAGATATATATATATATATTAAATTACACTACTTATTAAAAAGAAAAAGAAAAAAAACTACTTCAGCCTATAAGAATTTTTAGTTACATGTCCGACATGATATTAGCCAAACAATGACCAATGACCAAACAATAAGCCTAACTGTCACGTGACCCTAAAAGTAATTGCAAAACCTGTGTGAAAAACTCTTTTGGAAGAATTCCATTTTGTTTTGGTTTGATATTTTGATATGTAATGCAATGACCTTTATAAACGTCTTAAGACTCCAAGTAGGCTAGTTCTACTTTTGGGGCTGCTGTAATTAAACAAAACAATTATAACAAAAACATAAATCAAACCATTTCCGCTTTGTATGCTTTAATCCATTCCCTAAATCCACCTTCATACGGATATGAATGATGACAGAAGCTGACAGAAACTCACCTGTAGCAGACGCAGGTGTGTTTGCTCTGGAGGCGCCGGTTGTTTTCCGCTTCCGCTCCTGTTTGCTAGTTTGCTTTGCGATCACACCGGACCCGCTCCGCGTTTTCCCGTCCGGATCTTTCTGCGGCTCCGAACCCACTTTTACCAACGTGTTGCGAGACCTGGTGAAAGCTGAGGTCACTGAGCCCATCTCTGCCAAACAGCCTTCAGCTGACTGACCGTCTGCTCTGGAAACACGGTTACACACTCCATGACTCGGATTCCGACTCTGTCATTGCTGTGGCGTCCTCATTAAATGATATGATAGGCTACTAAGCAAACCGTGTCCTCTGAGCGGTAAACATGCTGATCCACTTTCCTCGCGTTCGGCTCGGTCTATCTGTAAGTCATTTTGTCAGCTGGAAACGACGAAAACCAGCGGAAATCTCCAGCGCTTTCCCGAGAGAAGCCGTCGTCACATGAATAAAGTTAGTTTGGCAAACACGAGTCTCTGGGGTCGAGAGCGTTGAAAACAAGCATCTGTAATTAGTCTGTCAGGTGTGTCACATTAATGAAATTACACACGACACTGGCGAGCTGCGAATATACAATTACTTTCACAATTAAAGGGGTCATATGATGCGATTTCAAGTTTTCCTTTCCCTTTGGAGTGTTACAAGCTGATTGTGCATAGATAAGATCCCTGAAGTTGAAAGAGAAAGGAAAAAATGAAATCGCATCATATGACCCCTTTAAAAGTAACTTTCCCCAACACTGGTAGCAACCGTATTTCTCTATTTTCTTTCTCATCCTTGATGCAAAATCCAGTTTGATAGCTGGTTTCTAGCTATTACTGGTCATAAGAGATCAATTTACTAATGAGTAGCTGGTTGACCAATATGTTACTAACCAAGCTGACCACCTTAAACTGGTGTGATCAGCTGATAGCTAGTTTGTCGCTGGTCCAAGTTGCACTTACATGTATTTTTTAAAAGTAAAACAATTCAAGTTTGCTTCAATTGGCCAGAGGATGCATGAGTACCCCTTGTCTGAAATAACTGACGTTGAACCTATGAATATGTGAAAACGAGTGTAAATGAGATTTGACAAATGGGTATATTGTAGAACAGGGCTGTCCAAACTCGGTGCTGGAGGGCCGGTGTCCTGCAGAGTTTAGCTCCAACCCTAATTAAACACACCTGAAGCAGCTAATCAAGCTCTTACTAGGCATAGAAACTTCCAGTCAGGTGTGTTGAGGCAAGTTGGAGCTAAACTCTGCAGGACACCGGCCCTCCAGGACCGAGTTTGGACAGCCCTGTTGTAGAACATAGCAACTTAAAATTCAGTTTGTCCATCACTCAAAGCAATTGTATGGCTTTGGACGACTCAAAATGTAGTGGATGAGTTGTATGGACTACTTTTATAATACTTTTTTGTAGCTTGACAGCCCTTTAATCACTATCTTCTCTCTCTGAGTTAATAAGTACCATGGACATTCTTAAAAAATTCTCCTTTTGTATTACACAGAAGAAAGACAGTCATATGCATTTGTAATGACATGGGGTAAATGATTTTTAGGTGAGCTATTCCTTTAAAAATGCCATTGGGTTATGACACCAAACACATGACATGAGCACTCGGTGTGCTTCCCTGGGAGTGAACAGGAACTTGAACACTCGTGTCCAGGGAGTACAAATCTCCATCACTGCAACAAACAGACAGGAACACACATCCTGTCCCACATGAACCACTAACAGAGGACATGGATGCTCCTCACTAAGAGAAGCACCTTGTTTAGAAAAGGTCCATTAAAACACTTAAACTTGAGGGTGCACCTATTTTCTGGTCCACAAGATGGCAGTGATGGGCTTCAAACCCAAGACCAGGAACAGCGTAATGAGAGACCTTTGTGTAAAATGGAATCATTTAAATATTCTTTTTGGATTTAGGATTTTTGATACTGAGGTTTTTACTGTTTTACTTTGTAAAAACAATGTAATTTGTTTTTTGCAAATTTACCACAATAATAATAATAGCCCATGGAAGAACATTCAGACAAAGAATGAGGTTCTTTGTGAATACAAACCCTTCTTTGATTGTTTTTATTGAAGCATTTTGCTTAAACAAAATCACATTGGCTCAAAAATGCTATTTAGAAGATAAATGCAGGTTCAGACAATAAAAAAGATTCACAGTACGCTAAAGGTCATGCTGTTTCTTTGCTTGTGTGTTATCACTACATTTCCTCTACAGGCTCAAATACTTGTATCTTTTGGCAGATTTAAAGGCACTTTGAAGCAGGTTATTTTGTGTAGTTCACATTAGATTTAGTTGATAGTGGGGATACAGAAAGGTGCTGCAGTTGGTTGCTTGCAGTGGATGATAACAGTAGATTTCCTTCATCACTCCAGGTCATCATGGTTCTGAGTGGACTCATTGATCACCTTAATGGAAGAGAAGAGTGGAAGTGTTCATGAGAGACCCAAATGAAATCATAGACTTAAAATTAGATTAGATTTATTTCAGGTTCACTGCAGAAACCTTAATATTGTAAATTGTAGGGAGTCATAGAGATCATAGAGGTGTCAATTATAAAAAGATAAATAAAACGATAAAATCTGGGGGAAAGTGCATAATTGTGCAAAATTCACAATTTGCACAATGCAAATTAATCCTATCATATGCTTAATTTTCTAAGTAAAAAGATTTATTTCATTTTTTAGTTTAGTTTAGTTTGGAGTTGTGACCTGGTAAGTATTTTGTTGTTTCAAACCTTTTTACTTAGCATAACATAATTAGATTTTGGGGGAAATGTGCTTAATTGTCAATAAAATAATGTCACACTGCAAAAACATGATCTTATCACATGCTTAATTTTCTGAACGATTAAAAAAATATATATATATATTAAACAGGAAAATTAGCATTCATTTATTGATTCATTCATGTATTTAAGTATGTATGAACTGTATGTTGTGACCTGGACATGTTTTTGTAAAATACACCCATTAAGTGATACACTCAGTGTAGTTTCAAAACTTTTAACTTTTTAATAATTGTAAGACTGTGTGAAAATACTGTGGTTGTGTTAAGTCAAACACATACCTGTCCATCTCTGCTCTCAATGGTCTTAATAAGAACTTTCTTAGTAAATGTATTTTCCATGACAGGCTTGGACTCAAGCATCGTTTCTGTCAAAATGCAAGATTATCTTCAATGAATCTGTACAAACATATTTTTATATGTTTCATTATGATATGTATTGGTGACTTGATGTATTACCTCTCAGACTGAAGGAAGAGAAGTTTGGAAGAGGGGTTGAAATTCTACATCCAAGAGAATAAAGTGTAAAATTATTTTATAAAACATAACATGTTGTTTCAACCCAAAAATAAACCATGTCCATGAAACGGCAGCATCTCAATAAATGAATCGAGCACTAATGTACTAAAAGTGTTCACCTGCTCTCCTCCCCCTCCAGAAGCTTCCTGTAGGTGGCGATCTCGATGTCCAGGGCCATCTTGACGCTGAGCAGATCCTGATACTCACGCAGATGTTTTGCCATCTCGTCCTTCATGTTCCGTATGTCCTCCTCCAGCTGAGCAATATTGTCCTGGGAACTCGACGACTCCATTGCAAAGTTCTCCTCTATCTCCCTCATCTGACGCTCCAGAGACTCATTCTGCATTATTTATACAAAGAAAATGATTTAGGGACACGTGGATGTAATGTTATGGTAGTCATGGAATATCAGGCTCTTCTACACCTACAGACAAAATGTCTCAGATTCAGTATTAACAATTTAATCTATGATTGAATTACAATAAACACTTTGTCCAACTTGTTACCGGTCTGTTCCTACAAATATTAAATATTAGTTCCGTGCAAAAAGTTAAATAAATTTTTTTTTAAAAATTTAAAAAGTAAACTATGTACTATCGAATATGTCTATAAACATGTCTGGGTCACAACCTCAAAATAAAATAAAGTAAAATAAAAATAAAATATGTTTCTATCCAGAATAATATTTGAAATATTTAATTTTTTATCAAATAAAATAAATGTTAACGTTTCTAATCAATTTAGAAATTCTAATTCAATATTTTTAAATATATTAATTTTATTATTATTGTTGTTGTTGTTATTAAGAACATTTATATTTGTATTTATATTTGTTGTTTATAATTTGTTGCTCATATAATTTGTCATTATAAAATTTGTCTGAGCTCAATTCATTATTTATTCTAAGCATTGCCACAAGAGGCACAATAGCAGTGTAAACCAGTGTTTCTCAACTGGTGGGTCGCGGAGTGTACGGCCAAAGAAACGACATCAGCAACAAAAAACGTAATTCTTAATGTTTTTCTGATGCTAGACTTTTATTTTAAAAGACGTGCATGAAAGCTGTTGACACTTATGTCAGATGCAGTTTAAGTAAAGAGTGCCTGAGAAAAACACGCTGTCCCAATTCAGTATCTGTCAGATAAGATGTTGACAGGCTTAATTAGTATATATATATATATATATATATATATATATATACAGTATATATGGTAAGTGGGTCGCGGCTTGATGATCTTCTTCTACAGTCAGTTTTCTCTTTCAAGTGAACTACTATCATGGATTCAGCATCTGTTTGAAGAGAAAGGTTAGTTAAATTATCAGTTTGTCATGTTTATAGCTAGCTGCCTGAATAATAACCCATTTCATGGCACAGGCATTGGAGTAAAACTCTATAGCCCCCTTGAGTGCTGAGGTTTGTTGTTACAGTCCCAGTCATCACATTTGTGGCCAAAGAATAAGTCTAACAGGTAAATGTAAGTGCTTACGGTTCCCTTGAGCGCGTCCACCTCGCAGGTGAGCGCCTGCACCTGACGCCGGTATTCATTGGCCTTACGTACTTATGTGAGTCAGAACTGCCGGCATTTTAGTCTAACGTAACTCTCCCAGGATCAGTAAAAAGAAAACTGAAATCTTTACATGATTTTACACTCAAACTTATAATAATTCAAACTATCATAACTTTTAATTATATTGTAATCATTTTAATTAATTTATATATACTTAATAGTTTTATGATTACAAATTAGACAAAGATAATTGTGAATAGTTTACACAATTTTACACTTACTTTTATAATAATTAAATTCATAATAATAATTATTGCTTTTATTATGATAATTTTTCTTAATTAATTTACATGATACAATTTTATGATTGCAAATTAGAGAAAGACACCTGTAAAAATCTTACACAATTTTACACAATATTTTTGAAATCATAAAAATGTAATTTAATTCAATGGCTAATTTTAATTTTTTTACTGTGCTAATAATGTCATGTAAATGTCCTACTTTTAATGCCAGTAATCAGACTGATGCTTTCAGTTGGCTTTGAAACTGACACTTGTGTTAACTGACCATGGAGATTTAGTTAATGGCCTTGAAATGGCCAAATATTGGTTGATTAATCAGTCTATCACTAGTTCAGAGAGTGGTAGTGGTAATCAGATGCATTTATCTGTCA